ATCAGTAAGTCCTTAAATAGTTCTACCAGTATTTTTTGAACTTGGATTTGAAGATGATGTACACAAAATAACTGTTGAATATCTTCAGTTTCTACTGTCTCTTTCAGGCTCACTGAAGATGCTTTTAGCTTGATTCCTCCTCCCAGTCCCTAGGACTTTATTTTGGGAAACCTTGCCCTTCCCTCGTGTATAGGCAATATTATATTTCTTACCATTTTTACAATCATTCTCAAAAATCTTTGACCTTTTGTTTCACCCTTCGTAGCTATCAGTCCAATTTAATTGGCACATACTAGAATACGTTTTTGAACAAAATCTGTTTTATTGAGAGACTATTCGCATCTTCTCTTATATAGAGAATTGAAAGAACAAATGCTTGAGCAAATTTGGTTCTGAGGATAAAAAAAGCTGATGCCCAGAGAACAGTGAGAGTGTAGCAGATAGGCCACACGATCCCACTTACGTATTTTACAAACTTGTATTGAGAATCTACCGTGTGCCAGGCACTCTTAAGCCCCAGTGAGTCAGCGAAGAAAGGGCACACTCTCTCTAACAGCTCTTGTCAGATTGGGAGTCAGGCATGCAACTCAGCAGCTCCAAGGAGACTGGAAGACCGCTGTGCTGGGGACGTGGAAACAGAGAGGGGGGCATAGGAAAGGAAATGGAACTCGTAGGTCAGCGTGGGGCGGGCGGTCAGCGAGGATTCAGGGAAGAGGAAGGACAAGCGGACACCTGGTGAACAGGGAGTGGTTCCAGGCAGAGATGTGAGCGCATTATGGATGGACAGAGCGACGTGGGCCGAGGGGCTTGTCCATGAAAACGGGAAGGTGGGTTTCCGTGTTGCCGGGGTGCAAAGTGTACAGGGAGGAGGAACTGGCCATGAGCTTGAACAGACTGCACCCCCTTGTGGGTTTTGTGCACAGTCTTGTTGTAGTTAAGCCTTGACTGTTGTAGGTAACACTGGGAGGATTTGACCTCCAGGCCAATTGGCTGTGAGAATCAGATGTGTCTACGGTGGGAGAACTTCTGTGCTGAAGACACCCTTATGGGGCAAGACTTGCTTCAGTGGGGCTTTGGTGCTCACTGAGTCTGCCCCCTGAGTGTGTCCCTTATAGATCTGAGGAGTTGTAATTGGATGGTCCCACTCTGACCACTGGGTACACTGGCTCTTGGATCTAAGGAGGTGCTAATCTGGGGCAACCAGATCATCAGAGACCGTGGATACTATTCTAGGGAGTGGAGGTTCTAGCTAGCGGGCTAGGTTCCACCCCTCCACTGCACCAGTATTCACTAGGTTATTCATTGGAAAAACAGAATTTTGGGCTCACCCAGCTTTCTGAATGAGTCCCCACAATGGGCCGCGGTGATCTGCGTTTTTAAAAAGTTCCCTTATGACTGTGTCACATGGCCTGAGGCGCATATGACACAGGCATAAAGAACAAAAGGAGTTACCTCCTGCACTTCCACTGGCTTCCCCAAACTCACTGCATGGGGGACCCCACTCCCTCCCTTCTTCTCTCTTGTTTGGAGCTTCAGGAGAAGGAGAAGAGTCAATAGGATCCTGACATGGGGAGACAGAGCATATCCTGGTGCCACGGGAGTAACCGCAAGTGTTGGGCAACCAACACAAGAATTTAATGGCACCAAATGTTGGCTGCCCATTCATTCAAGGAGTATTTTAAATTCACTTCCTTGTGTGGTCACTTGTCCACACTTAATAAAAGTACCCCCCAGAGAGGCGGAGAACGAGATTACTCCTCGGCTTCCTGAAGAACAGCTCTCAGTAGCCCTGAAACTCCAGTCTCAGCTTGAATAAAATCTGGTTCCCAAAGACAGGGCACTAAAAAGTCATCTGGCTTTCAAGCTCATGCTATGGCCAGTTTGCTCAGTGGTTAGAGTGTCAGCCCACAGACTGAAGGGTCACAGGTTCCATTCCCGGTCAAGGGCACATACCTTAATAGTAGTTGCAGACTGGATCCCCGGCCTGGTCGGGGCTCATAAGGGAGGCAATCAATTGATGCGTTTATCTCACATTGATGTTTCTCTCTCTCTGTCTCTCTCTCTCTTCCTCCCTCCCGCCTCCCTCTGTTCCGCTCGCTCTTTAAAGATCAATGGAAAAAATATCCTAAGGTGAGGATTAAATAAAAAAGAAGGCGCAAGCCCACCTCTATCAAATGCCATTTTGACATCCTCGATGTGTTCGGTGAACCCGGAGACCCTGTAAAGACCTTCCGACTTTAATCCTGTTAAAAAACAGACAGACTTTAACCAGCTTCCAGCAACATCTAAGAATCACTCTAATTTCACATCTGCACTGTGTGCTATCAGGAAATGAGCAAAATTGTCAGTGCTTCTACATCATCCACTGTTCCATCGGCACTCGGACTCGTCCGTCTCCATTTCCACGCACATGTCTTCATTTGCTGCGGGACGGTGGAGACCTCAGTGACGGGGGCTTCTTCCTGCCTGGCTTTGTAAAGTGAACCCATGTTTACGATTCTCATCCACATGATCTCCTGCTAGTTTTGTTCATCAGCCTGCTGGATGCGATTTCGCTGCCTCAGGCGGCTACTTGCTTTCTCTTCCGCATCATCTTAGTCCATGTGCCACACACATCAGTGTATGCAGGTGTGAGATACATATTATCCTGATTTTGTTGAAACAGCCCAATTTTATAGCCTTTTACAGTTACCAAGTACTCACGGGGAAGTAAAGTACAGCACAGGGAATGTAGTAAAAAATATTGTAGCCCAGCCAGCATGGCTCAGGGGTTGAGCGTTGACCTATGAACTGGGAGGTCATGGTTCGATTCCTGGGCAGGGTATATGCCTGAGTTGAGAGCTCAATCCCCAGTGTGGGGCGTGCAGGAGGCAGCCAATCAGTGATCCTCTCTCATTATTGATGTTTCCATCTTTCTCTCCCTTTCCCTTCCTTTCTGAGATAAATACAAATGTTTAAAAATATTGTAATAATTGTGTATGGCACAGGTGTATAGATTGATTGGGAGAATCACTTTGTAAGGTATATAAATATCTAATCACTATGCTATAAGCCTGAAACTAATGAAATATTGAATGTCAACTGCAATTGAAAATTTAAAAACGAACACAAATTTATAGCCTTTATATTATTTAGTCATAAATATGATAATATGTTAAATGTTTACATATGATTAATTTAATTATATACCTTCAAATAAATGTGCCTTTTATATCTTCAATGTGCAGCGCATGATAAATGCTCGGCAAGCATGTGCTGAATGCATACATGGAAGCACTTCACACATGAATAGTTTATGAATGAAACAGAAACTGATTTAGTTGGTGTGTGTGGGTGCACGCATGTGCACGTGAGCCTGTGCAGACCATTTTTCCTACATCAACAGTGGAGAGTCAATTTAACGATTCTAAGAAGGTTTCCTTGGCAACAGTAAAATCAAATCCTTATATCAAGGGGCCTTTTCCAAACCTCTGGCTTCGATTTCCCGAATGCAGATGTCCACCACCATGGGCCGCTGGGGTTGTGCGCCTTCACCAGGGTGGTGAGGTCACAGCAGTACACCTTCTTGATCCTCTTGAGGTCCGGCTGACAGTCGTTGGGAACGTGCTTGGAGCACTGCTTGTGTACGTTCAGCCCGCAGTCTGGAAACAAAGAAGCCACATTAGATGGCCCTGCCCTTTGGCCAAAGCCCAGCACAAATGACACGTTACCAAAATTAAACGGCGAAAACAGCCCAGGGTTTGCCGCATCTCCCTGGAGCGTCCACCCCACTCAGAGGTGGTCCTCTCCATCCAAGGAGTGTGAAATCTGAATGTATTCAGGAAACTCCTACATAATTCATTTGTTCTCACAAAGCTTTCTCTGCTGCTGGACTAATCTTACTGGGATAGTCCTGGTCATTAGCCAGATTGTTTGTATGTTTCTTTCCCTTTCGGGCCTGGGACCTCTGTGGCCACATGTGGGCTTTTGGGTGTGGAGTCTCAGAGCTAGTCATGGCTCATCGCGGGCGCGTAGGACTTCTGCTCGGTTGTTTCTCTTAAGTCCTCGATGCTCCTCTTGTGGGAGACAAGATTACTCTCTCTGCGAACCCCTTCCTGGAGAGATGCCCACAGTTCCCACTCTCTTCTTCTTGCGGGCAGTGGGGACAGGCCATTTTCCTGCCACTTGCCTCACTTTGACACCTGCGAGTGGGAATGATGCCTACCTGGACACCAGTGGGAGTACCAGAGGGCTTACACTGCAGAACAATGCCATGAAATGTGATGATGCAAGTAATTATTTATAAAGCTCATATCAAGATCTAAAGCTGAAAAGGGGCTTTCAAGTTCACTGAACGCATTGTGAGCATAGCAAAGCCTCGAGAGCAGTTGGGATCCACTGATGGAATTTCTCAAACAATAACAGAGCCCAGTCTACATGTTGGAAAATAAAAATTTAATGTCGAAGTTGTTCACAGTTGATGTGCTGCTTATTCAAAGTGCCTTCTAATATTACTGGTCTTTCTAGGTATAAAGAAAAACAATAATAATGATATACTATATTCTAAGATATATACATTATACATATGACAAATATTATAATCAGCTACTTTGCAAAAAAAAAAAAAGCACTTAACCACATTAAGGATTTGAGAGGATCTCAACTTTTGTAAAATCATCAAAAAATTATTTTTGAAAATCACTAGATGATCTTTATGTAATGTGTACCGGCCAAGTTCTCTCGGCCTACCCCCCTTCCAAAGGAAAAACCGTTCTCATTCATTTCAGCTTCATCAACATGAGAGGGTCACCAAAGCTCAAGTGAACTTCAATAAGACTTTGATAAATCTACTTAGTAGATGTAAATTTTGGCCAACTGAACTAAATAGAATTGGTTGGTCTTCTTGTTTGGTTCCTCTTTCATAAAATGAGGATAAAATAGACCTACTCGTAGGGTTATCATGAGGATCAGATAAGCTAATATATGTAAAGACTAGGGTGTGATGGACACTATGTGAGAATTCAATGAAAGAAATCGCAAATACGGTGATAGAAAACACAAAGATACCTGCTTAGCTGCTCTTAAGTTATTTCATTATTTTTACTATATCTTTACAAACTTCATTTAAAACAATTTGGAAAAACTAGGGTAAAAGATACAATACACAAAATCCACCATTTTAACCATTTTTAAGTGTACAGTTCGGTGGTCTTAAGCACCTTTACATTGTGTGCCATCATCACCACCATCCATCTCCAAAATATTTTTCATTTTCCCAAACGGAAACTCTGTACTCATTGAATATGAATTCCCCAGACCCTTCTTCCCCTGGCCCCTGGCAACCACGTTCTACTTTCTGTCTCTGAATGTGATTACTTTACTTACCTCACATAAGTGGAATCATACAGTATTTGTCCTTTTCTGACTGGCTTATTTCACTCAGCGTAATGTCTTCCAGGTTCATTCATATTGTAACATATGACAGGATTTCCTATAATATTCCCTTGTATGGATAGACCACATCTTGTTTATCCATTCACCCATTGCTGGGCCGCTGCTACCTTCTGGCTATTGTGAAAAATGCTGCCCTAAACATGGGTATGCAATGACCTGTTTGAGTGGCTGCTTTCCTCTCCATGGGGTATATATCTAGAAGTGGAAATGCTGGCTTACATAATAATTCTATTCTCAACTTCCTTATATACTTCGTGTTAATATCTGAAGCAATAGTGTTTATGTAGAATGAAATCCTGATATTTTATTAAAATGAAGATGTTTTATAACAAATATAAAAATATTCAGGTTTTTCAAACTAATACATCTCCATATACTAAGAATGAAGTGTTTCATTTAAAAATGTTTAAAATATGTAAAATATGGAGAGTTGAGAGGCAGGGATTGTTCTTTTACTCTTTAACGATCAGTTTGCAGGTTTCCTGCTGCTCAGGGGAATATGAGGCTATATGGTGGCCACTAGAGAGAAACACCCTTTTATCCCCGAGAAATTTGCTGTTCAAAGCTAATCCGAATCCCAGAGTTTTGTTTTCATAATATTGACTTTGGACCAATTTCTTGCTGAAATTGGATAATACCAGCAATTAGGGATCTTTTTGGTGGGTATAAGCAGGCAGGCTGAATTAATACCACTGAGTACTTCAGATAGTCTACCACTTTGCTCAGGGGTTCACCTGGGAGGTGCTCTGTAGCTCTCGCTGAGTCTTTTGTGTTAATGGGAGTATCTGGATCATTTCTGGAAAGACTGCTTTGAGCCTATGTTTACTGCTTGTCTCATAGATGCGGGGCGGGGACAGGTGGAGTTAACAGACATACATGAGCATCTACTTGAACCCTCCAGGCATCACCACTGGTGATTGCTGTGTCTACACTAGAAGCTAAGATTGCCTCTTTCAAGCAGAGAAAGGATTTGAAATCCCATGATCCTGTGAGCCCAAACGGGCAGTCTGGGGAAACAACAGATCATCGTAATGTAGTGTCATTACCTTATTTTATTTTAAATGCTTCATAAGAATTCTGTTTGTAAATCTCACCCTAGCAAGGAAAGTATCAGTCCTGGTGTTGGTGGAAATCCAATCGATATATCACAGGAGGCTGCTCTTGCTCCCGACCCGAACTGCTTGCCAGAGAAAGCATGGCAAGATGACGTAGGAAGCCCAGTCACACATTAATTTGGCAATTCTTTGCTATGTTTTGTTAGATGTATCTTAACAAGATGTGTTGTGTGCTGCTAGCAATGGGTGTGTGCGTCCAGTTCTACGTAGAAAAACACCTAGGGTTTCAAAATGCTTTGAAACTATGTGATATCAAATCAAGGTTTCATTGTTATCTGAGGGCAGAAAAGTTCTGAGCATGGGCTCTGGCGCCAAATCCATGTTTCACTGCTTAGTCTGTGGCCAAGGGCAATTAACAATCATCTGTAAGCCCCAGTTTCGTCATCTATTTAATGGGGAGAATAACTGCATCTCCCCCAAGATCTGTTGGTGAGGCTAATTGGCATGATAAAGAGAAAATGCTTAGCTCAGTGCCTGGTATGTGACCAATGTTCTCCAGTATTATTATTTTCATGCCCTTGCTTTTGTAGTAAAGTGGGGATGACAAAGAAAAGTGGTTTTTCTATCTATATGATTCCATTGGAATTAATTTAGTTTCCTTTTAAGGAATCCTGCCTATTTGGGGAGGCAGGTAGGCGCCTACAGAAGTGCATCTGCTTGCATTTTTCTTGTCTTACATAAACAAGCCATTCCTCTCCACTCTAGCAAATACCTAGAAGGATGCCTCGAACCTTCCAGAAAGCTAGACTTTTGAGCTTATCTGGGCCTATTTCCAAGCTGTGGAGAGTTGCCCTCCAGCTCAACATGGTGGCACTTCATATAAATGGAAGAAGGATAAAGAAAGTTCCGTGTCTACCTGAGCACCGGACCCCTTGGGCGATGAGCCCCCACATGAAGTTGGCACAGTATTCACACCAGTGCGGGCCGCGGAATGTGTGGACCTGTGATTCAAAAAGAAGAAGAGTGTCAGAAAATTCAGTCATTTGGGGGCAGATGGCCTCAGTTATGCAACAAATGCACGAAGTCAAGACACAAAGGCCTTAGTGGCAGTGAGCATCCCTCGCTGGGCCTGTTCTCTCCAGGGAGGCAGAGTTGCAAATGGACTAGAAAGAACAGAGATGTGCTCTGATCTTTGAACATCCTACATGGATCTACCATGCCCGGGGCCGGAGTCTGAAAGGAATGAGGAGAAACAGTAAGATCATAGGGCCATGGCATCAGCTGAAGAATGAGACTCTCACCACCCAGACAAAGCACTGTGTGGACCAACCCAAGGTGGCCCGAGCTGGTCGCTACAGCTGAGTTAGCTCAGCTTTTGTCCTTTTGACCAAAGTGGCCCCCTGGCAGTAAAATGATAGGTCATTTCAATTATGAATATAAATGTAAACATTCTTTAAAAAAGATCCTACTGAATATAGCTTGATATTTTAAAAAATGGCCTGACCAAGGATAGTTTATTTCATGAATTTAAGTTGACATATTACTAGAATTCACCCCAAAAACAAAACAAAAGAAACCACATCAGCATTTCAAAAATTAGAACACCAACAATCAAACACAATTCATCATTTACTCATAATAATAGCATCCCACATGCTAGGAATAGAGGAGATGCTCCTAAAAATAGCTGATTAAAGGTATTTATGTTACACATAATATTTAAGATGGAACATTAGAATAATTTCCTTCAAAGTCAGCAAAATGATAAGGCTGTCTGCTATCAATGCTTCTCTTGAGTATTATTCTATAGAGTTTAGCCAGCATAACAAACAAAGACAGGAAATATAATATATGATTGGAAGAAGAAATGAGGCCACGTTTGCTTAATAAAAGAGTAATATGAAGAAATCAGCATTGCCCTGGCTAGTTAGGCTCAATAGCTAGAGCATCAGCCTGCAGACTAAAGGTCCCAGGTTCAATTCTGGTCAAGGGCACAAGCTCGGGTTGTGGACTCAATCCCCAGTAGGGGGTGTGCAGTATGCAGGAGGCAGCCACTCAATGATTTTCTCTCATCACTGATGTTTCTCTCTCCCTCTCCCTTCCTCTCTGAAATCAATATATATATATATATATATATATATATATATATATATGAAGAAATCAGCATTGCTCTATAGAAGTAACACCATTTTATTAAATAGTAAAAAGCAAAGTCTCCATTTACAACAGCAGCAACACTCTAAAACAGGGGTGGGCAAACTTTTTGACTCGAGGGCCACAATGGGTTCTTAAACTGGACCGGAGGGCCGGAACAAAAGCATGGATGGAGTGTTTGTGTGAACTAATATAAATTCAAAGTAAACATCATTACATAAAAGGGTACGGTCTTTTTTTTTTTTAGTTTTATTCATTTCAAACGGGCGGGCCGTAGTTTGCCCATGGCTGCTCTAAAATAATTAGAACATCCTATATAATAAAACCCTAATATGCAAATCGACCGAATGGCAGAACAACCAGTCACTATGATGTGCACTGACCACCAGGGGGCAGATGCTCAACACAGGAGCTGTCCCCTGGTGGTCAGTGCGCTCCCATAGGGGGAGCGCCGCTCAGCCAGAAGCCGGGCTCATGGCTGCTGAGTGCAGTGGCGGTGGCAGGAGCCTCTCCCGCCTCTGCGACAGCCCTAAGGACCCTTCAGGGGATGTCTGAATACTGTCTTAGGCCCACTTAGGGGAGTGAGAGGGCACAGGCCTCTAGTAATTTAATAAATGACATTATGGGCACAAATAAGGAGATATTCTATACTCATGTATGGCAATGTCCAATGTTATAAATAGGTTAATTAGCCTCCAACTGAATTGAATGAATCTATAAATCCAATGCAATTTCAGTAAAAATCTCCATTCTGTGGTGCTTTCCACAAAAGTTGACACGATGACCCTAAATTCTGTGTGGAAGAATAGAGAAGAAAAGAATAGCCCATGATAATTTCGAGTGAGTAGAAGAACGTAGGAAAACACATCTGACCATCTAGCAAGATGTCTATAGTTACAAAAGGAAAACACCATGCAGGATGGACAAACAGGCCAGTGGATTCGAGTGGAAAGGTCAGAAACCAAGTCGCATACACAGGGAGACTGGGTATGTTTCAGAAGTGGCATTATATTAGGGGAAGGATGTCAGAGAGGTGAATTAGTGTTACGTCATCCACCTGTCACCCTCTCATTCATCATTCACTCATTGGCATGCTGACTGCCTATTTTGAACCTGGCACTGGAGAAGTCCATAAAGATACAAAGTCAAAATATATCAGAGGAGCCCAGACCTCCCTGCCCTCAAGGATCTCATCTACAAGAATAAATAGGCCACAGAAACAATTACCCTATGGCAGTGTCCTGGAGAGAATAACACATAATTCTAAGAAGGCTGGGGAAAGTGATATTTGAACTGGGTTTTGAAGGATGGATAGGAGTTCACCAGGCTGGGAAACACTGAGCTGCTGGGGAAGTGATAGTGCTGACTGTGGAGGCAGAGTACTTGGGAAAACATTCCAAGAAGCGAAAACAGCGTAGCCAAAAGCCAATGGTGGTGGGCTTGGTTTTTGAAAGATATTCTTTTATTTTAGGTCATGAAAAAAAAAGTGATCAAATTCTTCTCTGGAATATCTCTAGTGGATAAAGAATTTGCATGGGAAATACCTCCATACTTTGGGGTCAAAATGAAAATGCAATGTTTAGAAATGAGGAGAGTAGCTACCATGTTTACTACACATTGACCAAATGAAAAACTGGCTGACTTAATGCTCAGGAAATAAATGATACGCTAATCATAGATTTTCTGAAATTTCCCTTTTTGCCAATATTTAAAAAAATAATTAAACATATCAAAATTACATTGAATGCTGATTAGCCTCACCCATAACTACCAGCATCCTTTCCCGTCAATGTATCCCCACTGCCTGCGATCTCATTTCTCCAGCCAAACAAATGCAGGCAGGCACTTCGGAATAGCAACTCGCTCCCTGTGTCCACACATTCCCCCAGAGATAAACAAAAAGGGGCGGAGGGGAACGTCAAGTTAGTTCAACATTGTTTTAGGCCCACTGCCTACTTTCCCCTTTGTGATGGGCCACTGTTTGTTTTCACGGCTGATAGAGTCCGGTTTTCTTTTGGGTCCACAAGGACACTCTCTGAATAGTAGCCTACATGTAAAAGCCGGGACACTCTCCGAACCCACGTTATTTTGGGCTGAGTTATTATGTCAACCGTTCCAACGAAACACCCCGTATCTTGAAAAGTCACTAATCAGCCTTTTCCATTTGCTGAAGTTTATTGATTTTCAAGAATATCTTTTCAGAAAGAAAAAAAAAAGAGAGAGAACATTTTGCAAACTTTAGGGCAGAACCGAAAATACCCCAGACAGGAAGAAAATACCCTAGACAGGAAGAATGTCTGCCCAAGGCTATTATACTGGGCCTGGTCTGCCTGGAATTCGAAAACCACACCAAACAGAAGACGATGATACGCAGGAGATAAGGGATGTTGGACAAAGAGCCCAGGAATGGCCATTGCATGGAAACAAGAGCAAGAGGAATGGCCAAGGAAAAGCCCGGGCGCTGAGCAAGTACCCCTGACATGACACTGTGAGTGAGCAGGGTGATACCTGTCTCACATCTGCGGGGCTGGAAGGCAGTCATCCCTGCTGGTTTCATAACAAGTATGTTTCGATGGGTCAAGGCAGGGGCCGCCCCAGTGGATAATCAGCTCAGCCCAGGCTGTAGACGGAGCTGCTTATGATGTGCTGCAACACCCGCTGGGAGAGAGCCACCCAGGAGAGGACACGGTCCCATTCTCATGTCACCTCCGTCTTCCTCGCACCTGGCAGTGCCTGGCGCATAATCAGTCCTCAGTCCACATTTGATGACTAAAAATTCCATGTCTAAACAGTTTCCTCTCATCAGAACTTTCAAAGACACCCAGCTAATATGACAGCAATCACTGGTGCTGTTTTCCCTCCCAACAGAACACAAAAAGAGTGTTCCTATGGATGTAACATGGCAGAATCAGCCATTTTAGACATTTCAGATAGTCTCTTTGGATTCTCTGTTCTTTGGAATAGAAAAAACTCAGTGTGAAGTCAATAACCAGGAGGGAAAGGCTATAGCTGACTTTCCCAGGCTCCTTCCTTCACTCACCACCTGGGCACTGAACGCCCCAGGCAACCTGGACCCCACCTGAAGCTTACAGGGGCCAGAGGGACCTGAGCAGGGCAGACACCTGCTCCAGGTCAAGCTACTCTGACTCTCCCTGGAAGCTTGGGACTGGGGCTTTGTTGCTGGTTTGGTAACATATAAACCAGGGAGTGGGTTGGCCGGGTGGCTCAGTTGTTGGAGCATCATCCCCTACACCAAAAGGTTGTGGGTTCCATTCTCGGTCAGGGCACAGACCTAAGTTTCAGGTTTGAGCCCCGGTCGGGGTGTGTACAGGAGGCAACCAATCGATGTTTCTCTCTCTCTCCCCCTTCCCTTCTCTCTAAAATCAACAAAAACATATCCTCAGGTGAGGATAAAAACAAACAAACAAACAAACAAACAAACCAACCAGGGAGTTATCATCAGCCATATTCTGCAGACCATACGGACTAAGGCATTTTTGTGCAGGGAGAGATCAATGAAGCTGATATCCAGAGAGCAGAGAGCAATGAAGTGGTGGGGAGGGAGGGAGGGAAGGGAATGGAGGGAGGGAGGGAAGGGAATGGAGGAAGGGAGGGAAGGGAATGGAGGGAGGAAGGGAGGGGGAGGAGAAGGAGAGGCTGGGTCCAGGCACACTCCTAGCTCCTGTGTCCTACCTCCTGAGTTCTGAGTGGTCCCTGGGGGTGTATGAGCCCCTCCTGCACCATAGCCTCGCATTTAGCTTATGACAGTTTCCAAGGGTTCTATCCCTTGAAAACCAGGAGTTTCTGGTCATTATAACGGTGGGGTCGGGCCCCGGTAGGAGGCAGATAAAAAGTGGCTCTTCTTCACTGCACTTTGGGAGCAGACCCCGTGTTTTCTTCATAAAAACACAATTTCCAAGCCCATGTATGCCGGTTGCACGGCAAGTCCCTCAGTTTATATTCAAGGCGATGAGTGTGCCTTTCCTGCCAGTTGTTCCAGACTTGTTTCTGCCCAAACAGCCATTTCTGATGATTAAACAAAAGAAACAAAATAAAGCCCACAGCCATTGCTGAAGCCGATTTCTGCCTGTGCCCACGTGAGGCAGGCAGATGACGGGACGAAGGGCTGCGCATTTTTATGAGATCGAGGAGGACGGGGAGGGAGGGGTGGGCATCTGGGAGGCCAAAGTGGCTCATCCCAGAGCAAGTGATCACCAGACTGAGCGGAAGGAAAGCCAGTGCTGGGCCCAGAAACCGTAAATGAACCCCCAAACCCAAGGCGGGTGGTGGTGGTGCCGTCACTCCCGGACCCCCTCAGCCTCCTGACTGGTCCTGTCCTGGCACCTGATGGGCGGGAGGCCTGTGAGCAGGAGCACACGGCAGGGACGCACCATGGGGAAGGGGTGCTGCTGGCAGCCCCATCTATCAATAGTGGGGGACATAAAAGGTAAGGTGGGCGACCACCAAACTTCTGCCTGGACAGGGCCACTCTTGAGAGTCAGCACAAAGGCAGCTGGACAAGAGGAGTAACCAGGCATGTGTGTGCCGTCCCCAGTTCCCCATGTATGAACCGAGCGGCACTGCACAGCCAGGCCCTCCGGTCAAACGGGGAAAGAGAGCTGGCCTGACGCCCCTTGATACAGTCTCCGTCTCCCTGGCACAGTCTGGTGACCCAGACAAGGGCTACATGTGGGGAAGGACACAGCACAACTAACACAGGTGCTAACACAGGTGCAACAAGCCATGGACGAGGCACCTGTGGGAGGGGAGTGAGTTATCTGCTACACGTGGGGATGGGGTGGATGGTCAGGGGTTGGGGGAACATGGGGTAAGGTTGGGGCAGAGTGGTTTGCTCTTAACCTTTAGAACTTTCTGGACCTCTGCTCTCCATCTGTATCCCATACAGGGTGTTCCTGCAGTGCCTGGTGGAGAGAGAGAATTTGGTGGAAGGAGCCAGTGATGTACACACACATGCAGACCTGGGAAGGCTGCTAAGAACATGAGTGGGCAGAGGGGAGACAGAGCCCCGGGTAATGAGTCTGCTATGATTGATCATCCAGATGAGCTGCGAGCCCCTCTCTCTCCAGGATGGGGTCCTCCCTGCACCCTGTTCCCTCCTGGCTCCTTTCTGACTCTAAGTTTCCACTCGTGTCGCTTGTACTGCCTGGAATAAAGAAGAAGGAAAGAGATGATGGAAAGAATAAAGGCATGCGTGGCCAAGTCAGGATAGAAAATAAGAAATACAGAGAGTGCTCAAGCTAAACACAAAAACACAAGAGAAATGAGAGACACAAAAAGATGATAATAAAATAATGAGAGAAGCTAACTGTATTGGGTGCCAGAGACCATAAGTGATATACAGGTATTCTATAAACTTTACAATGCTCCCATTTTACAGACGAGGAAACTGAGACTAGGAGAACTAAGCCCTTGGCCAAAGCTCAAGTCACGGCCAGAGCACAAAGCTGGCCACAGCTACCCCATCACTGTGCTAAGTGGGGAAAGAAGGCCAGTTAGCCAGATCTGGGGGCTCCGGGGCCTGCCAGCCTACAGATTTTTAGTGCTCAGCCAGTAAGTATTATGAGGATAGACCACCTAAAAGCGAGCTATTCCTTTTATAGGAGAGTGCCTCCAAAGTCAACCAGAAGAACAGAGATGCAGACGTAGTGCGAGTAAAGTAATAGAGTGGTTTTCTGTGTATCAAACGGTTCATTTTTGAGAGGAGACCATCAACCTCATTATTCCTTCAACAAATTCCTTTTAGGCCCAGGATGCACAAGTAACCCCAGGGAATTTAGGATTTAAAATAGCATCATCTGCATACAGGGTGGCAAAGTACAAAATTATTGCACAAAATGAGGCACAACTTGAATTTGCCTCCAAAAGTTTTGTTTCCAGAGCCGAATGGTGGCTTTTCCTAGACATGCTTCCCAACGCGAGGACAGTAGCTATGGCCTCAGGAGCAGGACTGGGGACTTTCTGAAAGAACGGAGAGGGAGTTCCCACCCTGGACCTGCCGGGTTGGGGGCTCCCATTCATCCCTCTTGATGAGGTACCTGGGGGAGCCAGGGGACCTCTTTTTAGCTGGGGGAACAGTCTTTTTTTTTAAAAAATATTTTATTGATTTTCACAGAGAGGAAGGGAGAGGGATACAGAGTTAGAAACATCAATGAAAGAGAAACTTGGCCCAGACCAGCTGCTTCCTGCACACCCCCCCCCCCCCCCCCACTGGGGATGTGCTCGCAACCAAGGTACATGCCCTTGACTGGAATCGAACCTGGGACCCTTCAGTCCGCAGGCCGACGCTCTATCCACTGAGCCAAACCCATCAGGGCTGGGGGAACAGTCTTGATGGGGAAAAAAAATCCTATGGGTGAGGCATTAAGATTGACTGGCAGATGTGAACCTCTGCGAGGAAGCCGCTAGACCAGAGTCCTGACAGGGTCTAGTGTGGCTCATTCACTGATCAGCACGACAATGTGACTACTTGTCCCTTTTACTGAGCACTTACTTTGTGCTGTACACAGAATGCCTTCCAGTAACAACCCAAATTACGGAAGTTTCAGAATAAAGCCTATGAGAAGTCAACATAAATAAAATGTTTGTGTTTTACGTCTTAATTTTACGCTAATTCCAAGCAGATGGCTGGGGCCTTCGATGGGAACTTACTTTCTTCAGCTCTGTTCAGTGGCCTGTTACTAAAAAACCCTGGTTTTAGAAGGTTCTTCCAAAGACAAGGGTGGGGGTGTGGGGGTGTGGGGGGAGTGAAGAGAGGCTGAAGGAGGATGGAGGGTGGGAGGGGCAAGGAGTGACAGAGGGAAGCACCGCTCCAGCTCCAGCCACTCATTCTTAAGGACAGTGGCACCAGCAGTACCATTGAAAGCCACAACCGACTGACAAAGCCACTCAAGGGCCTGCTGCGTCTCAAAGACGCTATTTAAGCGGCGGAAGAGAACTGCTCCTGTCTGGCTCAAGCACCCTCTCTAACAACGGGCCTGCTCCCTGCTTTTACGTCTCTCAGTAGCTGTAAGGAAGAAGAAGTCATGTGGAGCAGATACTGACATTTTAAGCGAACATTTAAAAAGCGGTTGGTGTTTTTCAGTGATAAGCAATTGATAGCGATCTTGTTGCCAACAGGACTATTTAAGAAAATAAGACTCAACGATCTTTTTGTTTTGAATGTCATTTCCCATTCATAGACCTAAGACTAAAACACTGAAATTAGTTTTGAAAGTATTAATCAACTGTCTATGCTCATGATGTTTTTCAGACAAGCTAAGGTCATACATATATAAATATATGTAAGAGAGAGAGAGAGAGAGAGAGAGAGAGAGAAGCTGCCCCATGCAAACATACCATATAAGGCATAACTCCAATTGTCTCTGAAAGCCAGAAGAACTGGAATTTTCAAGAGGAAGGGAAAGAATTTGCAAGTCCAAGAAGATCCACCCTCCCACCCCATGGTAGTGTATCCACTAGATGCAAAGAATCAGGATTTCTGCCCAAAGTCAGAAAGATTCTTTCTTCAGGCAAAAACATCAATGAGGGTTAAGATAGTAAACAGGAAAGGAAAAAAGAAAAAAGCCATAAAAGCTTTTATACCCCAAATTAGACCTGCCACTATTGGGTGGTGGGAGAAATGTCAAGAGCCCTGTAATGCAGCTCTTCCCCCTCATGCTCAATGCGGAGGGCTGAACTATTCCAGCCCTCATTCAGTTATAGCATGCAGACGCCGAGCCGCTCGCTTTCCAAAAACAGATGCACAGCGAACGCACCACACTGACGCGAATGCAGATTTAATAGACACACATTTGTCCTCATGAAGGACCAGAGAGCAGCAGAACAGAACAGCTTTCCCGGGCCAGCTCCCACAAAGGGCTGTGCTGGTTCCAACAGCCCCCAGGCTGCCGGCCCTAAAGGAAAGGAGAGTTACAAGAAGGCAATTCACAATTGGCCGCTCCTGCCTCTTTCATCCTGGTCTCCACGCTCTCCAGCCTCCAAATCGTCAGCCCCTTTGCTGGGGCAGAGCCTCCAAGGCCACCCGGCTCTAGAAGCACCGAAAAGCAGGGCAGGCAGGGCAGGCCGTCTGGCACCAGCCTCCCCCGCCACCCTTCTTGGAAATCACTCTAGGGCAAAGGAAACAAGCCATCATTTCCTGATGGCAGGCCATGGCCACCAGGGCCGGTCTGAAACACAGATAGCCGTGTTTCCAGTTTGTAAATACACGTGGGAAAACCCACTTGAACTCCCACCAACTCTCCGCATCTTTTTGTTTGGTCTGGGGAGCAGGATCAAGGCTGCAACCCCAGGGAGCTCGGCCAGGCGGCCGGGGTGCTGCCCGCACGCAGAGGACAAACAGAAGCGACTGGACGGTATCGGCCGTCATCGCTTGCTGTCACAGCTGTCTACACACAGACCAAAGGAGGGACGACAGAAGACAAAACACAGAATGTGAAACGGGCCACTGTGCCCACTTGCTCGGAGACAGCACCGTTCTCGCGGCTACGCTGCGTGGAAAAGTACTGCCCGCTGACACTGGGTCTCAGAGGCCACCAGCGGGGCATGCTCCGCTTTTCCTTCCCTGGACACGGCGATCTGAAGCGGGAATGGGCCCAACTCTGCAGGACTCAGTTAATGTGCACAGAGGTGTTTCCAGGCGTCCCTCAAGCACAGGCGTTCTGAGGTCGCCCATGAGGTTAGATCCAAAGCAAGTAGCTACATGCGGGGAGCAAGGGGCAGCCGTCGCGTGACTTTAGCATCAGAGACCAGATGGAAACACACACTGTCCTGGTCCCTCGCCCGCTCAGAACAGAAGAAAGAAGGCAGAGGCTGGCTTACCTTAAAGTTGTGTGTCTTCTCATAGTTGAAGTGGTTGTCGTTGTGCGTGAGGGCGGCCCTCCTGACCAGGGAGGAGATCTGTGGACAGGCAAAGAGTTTGAGAGGGGGCCAGAGAAAGCCGCCCTTCACGCCCACCTTCACCCCCCAGGCCACGGCCAGCAGCTCCTGCCTCTTCCTGCCCGGCTTAGGCTTCCGAACCACCGCACACTTTTTCTCATTTTCCAACCACAGTTCCTGGGAGAACATGGTGTGTCCCCCGTGGAGCTGGGGAGCGGGGGCTTGGGGAGCGGTGGCTAATGTTAGGCAGCAGATTTGAGGCAGCTGCCTCTGTCCCGTCTGCAGTGGCCTCCGGCATGTGACCTGGAAGGGCCGGATTGCGGGATGGAGCGGCTCTCCCTCTGAATAAGGACGGGCCTGTTTTGTGCTATTTCTTAAGGCCAACGTGTGCCTGGAACAATAGCACATTCATGTGCACAGCAACCCCCAGATGCCGCAGCCAGTCAGCCACTGAAGAATCAATGGAGGAGGCCGGGGCAGGCAGCTCTATTCCTGGGGCTGCGCACACTGCCAAGGAGAGACCTCTCCTGCTTGCTAGCACATTTCATACACACACACTCACACTCACACACACACACTTACACTCTTACACACTCACACACACTCACACTCACACACTTACACACTCACACACACCACACACACACTCACACTCACTCTTACACACTCACATACACTCACACACACAAACACACATACACATTCACACACACTCACATACACACTCACACACACTCACACTCTCACACACACACACCACCACACTCACACACACACTCACATTCTCATATACACACTCACACATAGACATTCACACACACTCACATACACACTCACACTCACGTTCACACACACTCACACACCACACACTCACACTCACACACACACACACAAATACTCACACAAAGACATTCACACACACACAGACACACACACTCACACACACAACTAGCTCTGATGTTCAAAGCCGGAGGCTGCATCTAATTATTTTGGGGCTCCGAAGCCCATCCTTGGCTGAAATTTAAATCTTTAAACCCTAATGATTGTTTAATCATTTGGGATCAAGCTTGAGTCTCTTTTTTAAAAGAAATCTGCCCCAGTACTTGAAAGTCCACTTTTCATTCACATGCACACCTTAAATTAGAGCAGTCTGAGTGAAAGTCCACTTTTCATTCACACACACGCCTTAAATTAGAGCAGTCCGAGCAGAACGGGGCAGGGAAGAAGGCATAGCATTTCAGCTGTGAGGTCTACAGCCAGAATTTCAAAACAAGAGGTAGGATGTCTGCTCCAGGATAACACCAGTCTCTCTTCTCCCGCCAGCTACAGGCAGCCCCCACAACCCACACAGACCGCATTCCTTAACCCAAACCAAAACATCATACTTGCTTTTCCTTGAAATAAGACATCTTCCATGTTCATTCTGTGAGTGCACAAGCCTAAAGCCTTCCTTGCTCTTCAAAAAGCATCATCTATTTGATGGTCTCTCTTAGGACCACGGTTTTTTGGTCCCTGATCTATCTGTCCACTAACAGAAGT